CCTCTATGAGGTGGATTGATTCAGTGACTGGGATAATTGGGATGGGAGTGTCAGAGACAGTGCGATTGGCACAGGACAGAGTGGAGTTTAGAGCTCTTGTACATAGGGTCGCTATGAGTCGCAAGCGGCACATAACAACAGCAACAACAATGAACACATCCAGTGTTGCATCTGTTTGTAGAAAAATGCCAATTGGTAGTCTATCAACTCCTCGGGCCTTACTTTTGTGCCAAAGCCTTCAGGGAAACTTGAAATACTTCCTTAATTAGCATTGGTTCTTGATCATATGCCACTTCCTGAAATGGTTCCGTGTCATCCGACTGTTTTTGATAGTGACTCTGTGCATTGCATCCATCTTCTTTTTTTCTTCCATCTTTTTTTTTCAGTGCCTAAGTCTTTATTTTTCATAACCTACATTTTTAAATTAGACCCGAAAGGAAACTTAAGTTACCAATAGTTTACATGTAAGTTTGATTCCAGTCTAAATGAAACAAAATAGAACAAAAACTAAAACTATCAAGACAGCTTCCACATGACGTCGCATTTTGTGAACTGGTACCTGTAACCTCTCCTTAAGTCTTCGATTGTGTGCTGCTCTCCATGTGTATAATAGGTTACAAAGTGTGTCAGGTCCATTACTACAGCTCAGGGAAGGGAGATACAAAGACAAGGACACACCATTTAGTCACCTGTTGCCCTTGTAATAAACTGAACCGTTACCAGTTTTTAAATGTAAATTGCAAAAATGTTGACAGATAATAAAGAAACATAGAAAGTTTCATGCCACCTGCTAGTGATAAACAACAATGCAATTAATTATAGAAAGGACTGATCAGAAACAGCATGACATTAACTCTTAAAAAGCAACTATTCTCAAAACAACTATAACATCTCACCCCAGTAAGAATAGTAAAATTTAACAGAACAGCGAACATCAAATGCTGGCGAAGTTGTAGAGAAACTGGAACCCTTATTTACTGTTGGTGGGAGTGTCAAATGGTGCAACCACCATGGAAGGCTGTATGGCGCGTTCTCAAAAAAGTTACAAATAGAAATACCATTTGACCCAGAAATTCCACTACTGGGAATATATCCCAAAAAGACCATAACTGACATCCAAGCAGATATATGCACACCCATGTTTATTGTGGTTTTCTTGCAATAGTAAAGAGCTGGAAACAACCCAAGTTCCCATCAACAAACGAATAGATAGAGAAGCTCTGGTATGTTCACACAACGGAATACTATGCAGCACTGAAAAACAAGGAATCTATTAAATATTATGCAAAATGGATGACTCTGGATGACATTATGCTATGTGAAATATCTCAGTCACAAAAGGACAAATATTGCATAGGGCCACTGTTGTAAAACGGGACTGACATCAGGCTTGAGGGAAGACAGAAAAGGAGGGAAGGAATGATGTATATGGCATTGAAACAGATGAGGGAGAGAATTGTCTAAAAGGGATATATGAACGGGTATTCTTGTCATTACAGAAGTCCAGAGTGAAGGATGCATAGTGCAGTGGGCTTGGGGGAAAGGATAACATAACAATGAAAGAGTTTTTCTTTTTCTTTTCAAGGAGAAGAGTGAACTGGGGGGTCAGGGCGGGGAGGAGAGAAAAGTGCAACAGGGAATGAATGGAGACCTTAAGTCTCTGTAAACTTTCATTAAAACTAAACTTTTAAAAAGCAACTATTCTACTTTAAATTCATTTCTGGTGAAATAGGGTCCAATTGCTATACTTTCAAATATTAAGTATCACACAATTTTACAAGTTAAAATGTCACTTGCAACTGCTGTACCTCTGGTTTTGTAACTTGAGATAGTGCTGGGGGGGAAAGAAAAGAGTAAACTTTTTTAAAAAAATTACAAAAGTCACGTATTTATTGCTAAATGGAACATAGCAACTGACTGTACGTACCGCTCCTACTTTCTATTGTCCTCTCTCCTATTTCTTTTTTTCTGAGTGGAAAACTTAAAAGTAAATATCAGGAAGAGGTTTTTATACTTGTTTTTCCTATTAACACTTCCATCCTTTTTTGATGCTTCCCGCATCATTCAGTATTTCGCTCATAGAGTCCTTCAGTAGTAAAATTGAGGCTTCAAGTTGTTGAAATCACTAGAGGGTTCAAATGACCTCACTCTCCTGTCTGGAATTCTGTGATTGCTAACAGTCAGGTATCTCTCTCCTGCACTGGTCTTGCATTCATGTGGACAAAATGCACTTGGCCCATCCCAGTGCAGCCTCTGAGGCCCAGATCTCCACTCCTGTTCAGCAAGAAATAGCTAGAAAGAATATGTCCCCCTTTTTCTCACTAAAGGGGCTGGGATGTCTAGCCAGGACCAAGGTCAAGGGAGAAGGAAGGATTCAAAGAATATCAACATGCCTGCAAAGGGAGTGAACAGCCTCAGCTACCATGGAGTGCCCTTCCCTTCCCTCCCTAGAAGACCCCCACCTGGCTAAACCACAATGGAATGTCTGTCCCTTCCCTCCCTAAAGACCTTTACTCCCTGGTCTGTCTCTCTGGCTGTCTCTTTCTCTGCAGACCAATGAATCCCACCCAGGAACCCCCTTAATAAAGCCTCTTTAGCTTCCTTTAAAAAAATGCACTTGACCCAAAACAAAGACCAAACCCATTCCCCCTCAGTCAATTCTGGCTTGTGATGCCCCTCAAAGCAAAGCTTCCTGTGTTTTAAATCTTTAAGGAACCCCCAGTTCTCCTTTAACAACACTACACATAAACTCCCATCCCACCTGGATGTCTTACAGAAGCAAACAACAGCCTAATATCACAAAGGCAGAAGCTCCAAAGAGCCCAGGAACCATGGCTCAGAAGTTAAATAGCATCACTTCTGCATGCACATGATTAGTCAAACAGGTCAACTGGGTCTCCTAAATTGAAAGAGTAGAACACTGGCCATGTTGCCAGGATGGGCCAGTCCTTGGAGAAGGACATCATGCTTGAGAGGGTGAAGGGACAGCGCAGGAAGGGAAGATCTGGATGAGATGTGTTGACACAGTAACTGGGGTAATGGGGGGTAGGTATATCAGAGACAATGAGATTGGCTCAGGACAGGGTAAGGTCAGAGCTGTTGTACTTGGGGTGTCTATGAGTCTCAGGCTACTTGACAGCACACAACAACAACAACAACAGTGCGGTGCTGGCAAAGAACCTTGAACATCCCTGGTCCCAGGGTTCTAGAGACAGTGCAGCCAGGGTGCTCCTTGGACACAAGGATGGTGAAACTGTCTCATGTACATTGGGCATGTTGTCAGAAGGGGCCAGTCCTTGGAGAAGGACATCGTGTTTGGAAAGGTAGAGGGGTCAGCGCCAGAGAGGAAGTCCCAGGATGAGACAGATTGACACAGTGACTGTAGCAATGGGCTCAAGTGTATCAGAGATGGTGACATTGACTCAGAATAGGGCAAGAGTCATTCAAAGGGTTGCTATGACTCGTGGTTGATTTGACAACACCTAACAACAACCGTAGCAACCAGAAATTGGCTGGTGACACATGTTGCTGTTGGAGAAAGACAGAAAGAAGACCATGGTCCAAGGTGATGCCTCTAGCCTGCGAGTGTGGAAGCATCAATCAACCAGGTAGGCCTTCACTGCACTCCAAGTACAGCCCAGTCCAAGAAGGGCCCAGCTTTACAATCTGTTGCTGGTGCTGAGACCAGGAATCGAAAGTTGGGAGAGAGGAAGGAAGCAGGGGAGTTGAAAGGAGCAAAGTAGGCGTGGAGTTAGTTTTATATCTATATCCTGGGCTGGGTGCCTCACAGCCATGGACAACTCCGGGTACAGAAAATGGGATGGCAGCCCTGAAGGAGTCCCCGGAGGTATGGGGAAGGGGGCTGCCTCTCTGGCCCCTCTTGGCATCCTTCTCGTCCAGTGGCCTTGAGGAGGAGGAGCAAGACCTAATGGGGGGCTCAACATAGTGGGCACTGGAGAGATACCGCAGGCCCTAGAGCCAGGTGGACCTGGGTTCAGACCCTAACTAGACCTGAACGGCTGAGAGGCAGTGGGTAAATTACCGAACCTGGAAGGACCCAAGAGTCCAGAGCTTGGTTCTGGTGGATCCAGGAATCGGGGCTGGTCCAGGTCCAGAGACATCAAAGAGTTCACTTTTGCTTGCAGGGCAGTGGGGACGCTGTGGGCAGAAGTCCCTCGTAGTGACTGTGGTTCTTGTGGCCGCTGGCGTGCTGTGGTCCCTGGTTCTGAGTGTCCTATTGTCCAAGGGTAAGTGCCATGGCATTGGGGGGAGGGGGGGAGGCTGTCCCTCTGTCCTGGGGACACAGCACAGTGGACCCTCACCTGTCCACAAGCTGGGTCCCAGACCCCTTCCTGGGGACAAGTGTCAGTACCTGTGAGCTTATGCAGATTCTCGAGCTGTGTGCAGACATGCATGCACATGGGTAGGGGTGTATGTGGGGGGGGGGTACGCGCGCACATGCGCATGTGTGCTAGCCCCACAGCAGACAATTGTGTTAGTCTATTCTCAATGGTTGGAGTGCACTGTATGCCTGCCTGCCAGTCTGAGCCCCTGAAGATTGGGGCTCCAGCACCCCTGGGCCTTGGGTGGGGGTTCCTGTGTCCGTAGTCTGTGACTCTAGAATTCTTCCTCTGCAGCCTCCTCAGAGCTCGGGGTGTTACTCGGTCACCAAGACCTACTGAGGACAAATGGTGCGTGAGAAACAGTGTCACCAGGGAGATGGGGGACACCTGATGTCCCAAATGGGGGAGGTTGTGCTGTGAGTCCCAGCGGGTGACCCTGGCGTGTGTGTGTGTGTGTGTGTGTGTGTGTGTGTGTGTGTGTGTGTGTCTGTTCCAGCATCCAAGCAGGCAGAGGTACTGAACAGTCTGCAGGAGGGGGTCGGAACTTGCAAGACCTGCTGTAAGTCAGAGGCTGAATTCAGGCTTGAGGTTTGGGGTGGGAGGTGGCTTGGGGGGGGCACAGGGTGGAGTTTGTGGACCGGACAGGGGTTGTGGGCTGATTGACTGGCAGGCTGGTCTCGCGCTCCTACCACCCACTCCACCCCACCTTTCCAGGCTCCGAGGTGAAGGTCCAGCTGCAGACCACGCGTACCGAGCTCGGGGAGGCGCAGAAGAAGCTGATGGAACTGGGGAGCTCCCTGAATGAACTGCGCGAACGCGGTGAGGGGGACGTGGCCTTGACCTTTCATTTCCCACCTCAGCGGTGGCTTGACTCTCAGCTCACACCCTAACCTCACCATGACTGTGTCTGACTCTATCCGGCGAGGCCCTGACCCTGAGCTCACCATCCATCCTGACCCTGGTCTCTGGACTCTGACCTTGACCATGACCCCCAGCTCTGACTGTCCTGCGCCATTCTTCACATTCTGACAGAGGCCATACTGACTGTGTCCTCTGATGACGCATGACGCTGCCCCAGTTGTGAGCCCCATTTCCCTGACCCCACAGTGACCAAGGACACGGCCCAGGCGGGCCGGGACCGCGAGGACATCCGCAGCGAGCTGCTTCGGGCCCTGGAGGCGGCCAAGTTTGGGAACAGTGAGCGTGGCTGGGTTGTTTGGCACCGCCTCTGAGTCTGGGGGTCCAGCTAACCCCTATCTCTGCCTGCCGAGCTGGCCATGGCTCCAGGTTGCACTTGACCCCAGACCCCTCCTCCCACAGACTCCTGCGAGCCGTGCCCCACGTCGTGGCTGCCCTTCGCGGGCTCCTGTTATTTTTTCTCGAAGCAGCAAGACAAGTGGGAAAAGGCGCAGATGAACTGCGGGAACACGGGGGCCCACCTGGTGCTGGTGGGGGACCTGGAGGAGCAGGTGCGCTGTGCTGAAGGCCAGGGACGGGTCGGGGGCGGCTCGAGCGGGACGGGGAAGGGGCCAGTGACTCCCATCTCTCCTCCCACCCAGGCCTTCCTGAGTCAGAACACCCGTGGGCGCGGCTACTGGCTGGGCCTGAGGACCGTGCGGCGCGCCGGCAAGGTCCAGGGCTACCAGTGGGTGGACGGCGTCCCGCTCACCTTCAGGTGAGGAGGGGTCTCCCTGGGCCCTGGGGAGACTGGAACTCCAGGGGAGTGCTTTGCCAGATCCCAGGGGCTCGTTGGCTTGGCTGGCTCCTTAGGACTGCTCACAGGGTAGACCTCAGAACTGGCTGGAGAACGTTCTACTCCAGGGGAACGCTCAAACTAGAGTCCGGGGGTGGGGGGGTTAGACCCAAGACATAAACGGGCTGGACCCTGGGAAGGAGGGCTGGCCCCCAGGCCCACCCTCAGCAACACCGCACCCACACTCTGCAGCCACTGGAATACGGGGGAGCCCAATGACTCTCGGGGGCGCGAGGATTGCGTCATGATGCTGCACTCGGGGCTCTGGAACGACGCGCCCTGCGAGAACGAGAGGGACAGCTGGATCTGCGAGAAGAGGCGCCGATGCTGACACGGCCCTCCTTTCCCTCTGGGTCCACTTCCCGCGGGAACGATGGCTTCCGGGAGGCCGAGAGCCACGCTTACCTCCCCTCCTGCGCTGAGGCCCGACCACCCCTCCTGCGCAGCCCTCTCCATCTCCTTCTCTGGATCCTACTACAGGCGAATCTTACTATGTTCATCCAGTGACTCTCAATCCCTTAGCCCCTTGGCCCCAAAGCACCCTGGCCCCTTGGCCCCAAGTTCAAGACGTGGGTGATCTCACCCCACACCCCTCAGGCGACTCTGGGATGAACATGTCTGGTGTCCCTGCTCCTTCCCAGACTAGGTAGCCACGAAGAGCAGTCTTGTGAGCTCTCCTCACATCATCAATAAATGTCTGAGAACTGAATCTTGGCTCGTGGCCAGGAAGAGCTATTATGACCCTTGTAACCCTGGTTATGATCTCTGCGGGTGGCCCCTGATCTCTCTACCTGACCTCTTGCCTCCAAACCTCAGTGGAGTCCCTGGATGACACGAAAGGTGAATGTACTCATTTACTAATTGAAGGGTTGGTGGTTTTAATCCATCCACCCTGGAAGAAAGACTTGACAATCTACTTCTGGAAAAATTATTGTTGATTATCAGAGTCAACTCGTAGCTAATCCTTCAGAGGATTTTCAGAGACTGCAAACTGCACAAGAGGAGATTGTCCCTTTTTCTCCCGAGAGCAGATAGTGGATTTGAACCACCTGCTTTTGGAATGGCAGTGCAACTCCTTAACCACTAGGCCACCAGAGACTCCTTCTGGGAAGGTAGCCCTTGAAAATAAAGCCATTGAAAGCACTAGAGCACAGTGGTATTCTGACACCCTCAGACAAAGACAGTTTCTCATGAGTACCGCTCTCCCTTCAGCCCCTTGGAAAGAAACTTAGCACAGAGAAGACAGGGCACTCTGGTGTGTCTGACTGAGCCCTTAGCACCAGGAACCCCCTCTTTAAGCAGGAACGTGGTATGAGGACTGGCGGTCATTCTCTCAGCTTTTTCGACCTTCTCCCACTTTCTACCTCTCAGTGACAAGGTGGCTACTATGGTCCCAAGCCTCACATCCTTGTCTAACCATCTTCACGGCCAAATGGAAAGGGAGTTGTCCCAGAGAACCTGAGTTTTGTTTTTATTGTGGCATGTTAGACAATGAATTAGGATGACAGGAGAAGAATCGATGTCTTTGAGTTGTGGTGTTGGAGAAGAGTACTGAATATCCCATGTTGCTGTTGTTGTTGTTAAGTGTGGTCGAGTCACAGGCGACTCATAGCGACCCTATGAAGTAGAGTCCGCGACACTTGCATGCCTTTCTTCCTCTCTCCAGGTTCATAGGGTTTCCAGAGGCAAGCTATTACGGAAGTGGATGCCACTCCTCCTTCCAAGCTTGTTTTAATCAGGGAGCTCCACCCCACTCTCTGTCCACATGGGATAGCCAACCATTAACACATTTGACATGTCAGTGTTACAGTGTTCAGCCTCACAGCAACCAAAAGTGACCACGGTATGGCAACTTGTAGACCAGGGCTATACGACCAAGAGGAATGTCTGAACAAAAACAATGAAAGCCAGGCCCGAGGGCCGCGGATTAAAAGTCACCCACCTTTGGCTTGGTAGCATCACTTTCTGGAATATGCCATGGACTGCCAAAAGATCAAACAGATATGTCTTAGAGAAAGTGCTCCGTAGAGGCAAGCGTGGCCACATCTCGCCCCTTGTTCCTTGGGTGTGCACAATTGTTACGAGAGGCTAGTCCTTGGAAAGGCACATGGTGCTTGGAAAGGTGGAGGGTCATCGAAAGAGAAGACCCTCAATGAGATGATCCGGCAATGACAGCAATAGGCTCAAGAGTGTCAGAGATGATGAGAATGGCCCAGGATAGGACACAGTTCAGGTCGATTGTTCACAGGGGTCACTATGAGTGATAGTCAATTTGACAATAACAACAACATTATGTATGTATGTAGTTTTTATGGTGACAAGTATTAGTCATATTTAAGTTGATGGCACCAAAGAGTGTGTGTGTGTGTGTGTGTGTGTGTGTTGTTACGTGCCGTCAAGTGAGAATCAATCTGCAGCAGGTTTTCCAAGGCTATAAATGATGCAGGTGGAGATTGCCCATCCATCTCCCGTGGAGCAGTAGGCGGATTTAGCATCCTGTTTTTGAGTGGGTAGCATAACTCCTTACTCACTGGGTCACCAGAGCTCCCTAATACACATGTTGTTGTTGTTGTTGTTGTTGTTGTCACTGTTGTTGTTGTTGTTGTGTGCTACAAAGTTGACTACAGCTCACAGCAACCCTCTGAATCACAGACCTGAACCTTGCCTGCACCGCCCTCACAGCCTCTGATACGCTGAGCCCCCTGTCAGAGTCACTGAGTTAGTTCACCTTGGGGAAGGTCTTCCCATTTTTCTCTGACCCTCCACCTTTCCCAGTGTGATGTCTTTTTCTAAGGACTGGCCCCTCCCTCCTGACAACACGCCCAAAGCGTATGAGATGCAGTTTCACCACACATTAGCCACTCTAACGATCTTCACAATGGTATTAGCTCATGGCCACATTACCCATCGTGTTGTTCACTCATCACCGTTATCTGTCCCCAGATTTTTCTGTCATCTTGGAGACTTCAATCAGGACTTCAAACTGTTTCAAAATGATTCAGACACAGCCACATATTCAAAGTGGGGTGAGCAAGCTCCATCTTCGAGGAAGGGACCCAGGCCTCTTTTTGTGGGTTTTTTCCTTGACTTGGGTCAAAATTCCACACACAAAAACTTGGTTGGAATGCTACATGTATGCTCCGTCAGCCATGACTGAACTGTTTCAAACCCATTCAAAGCCCTACTTATGATCTGAGTTGACCCGGTGCTCCCAGAGATCCCTGCTTCCATTCTGGGACATTTCCAAGAATTCCCACGGGAGACAGGTCTAAGGACAATGTGAGGCTGGTGGCAGGACAAGGTCTAGCGTTAAATGTTGCTGAGGTCTCCAGGGTGCCTGGACCTGAGAGTATCCACAGAACAGAGAGTGAGGGACCATCATTCAAGCACTCTGGCCAAGAGGAGACCATTCAGAGTCATAACCACTCAGCCCCTGAGCTCTTCTCTGGCTCATGACACCCCTAACAGGTCCAGGAGCCATCTGACTTCTAGATAGACTATTAGGGGCACTGATGGACTGTTTGCTGCATTTCCAGACAACTGGGAGGGGTGTCTGAGTTTCCTGCTGCGTAGTGGTAAAGAAGCATACTGTCGGAAGAAGGGGCTGGCTTTTCAGCGACAGCGACGCAAGATGGCAGCCACCACAGGCTCGGGAGTAAAAGTCCCTCACAAAAAAAATAAAATAAAATAAATTTTTTTAAAAAGTCAATCACAATTTTCGACTGTTGGAAGAACTGGAAGAAGGCCAGAAAGGAGTAGGAGATGGCACGGTTAGCTGGGGTCTAGAAGATGACGAAGACATTACACTTACAAAATGAACAGGGATGATAATTGGGCCTCCAAGAACAATTTATGAAAACCGGATATACAGCCTTAAAATAGAATGTGGACCTAATACCCAGAAGCACCCCCCTTTTTAAGATTTGTAACAAAAATTAATATGAATGGAGTTAATAGTTCTAATGGAGTGGTGGACCCACGAGCCATCTTCGTGCCAGCAAAGTGGCAGAATTCCTATAGCATCAAAGTAGTTCTGCAGGAGCTTCGGCGCCTAATGATGACTAAAGAAAACATGAAACTCCCTCAACCGCCAGAAGGACAGTGTTACAGCAATTAATCAGAAAGGAAACCCACAGGCCCTCCCCCTCCCCCGTTCGATGTAAGCAGTCTTCATTTTCCACAGTAGTCAGTTTTCTAGGAATGTCTTGTAGACCTCAGAAGTACTGGAAAGGAAGCTCCCATTCGAGGGCAATTTCTCTTAAGATCCTGTAAATGATACTAATTTTTTGTCCATTTGAAATACCTGAGTTGTGCTCTAACAAATCATTCTGTCAAGTGTAACCACTGTCCATGTAGTTGAACTCCTGGGATCAAGAAAGTGTAAGTGGTGGGGCACACATCTAACTCAACTGTGAAGAGACACGTCACACAATCACCATGCTGCTGATACATGGCCTGGGGTCTCTGCCTTCTCCCCTTCCCCCTCCCCTGCCTCCAGCCCCCTCTCCCTGCAACAGCCCTCCAGCTCGGGGAGGCTTCTTAGAATAGATGTGAAGGTTTCGGGTCACAGCCTATGGGACTACTGCTGGATGCATAAGTCTTAAATGGTGCCCCCATTCCAAGCCATCCTTCCCCTCTCCTCCACTCCCACCCCTGGCCGAAGCATAGATTGTAATCCCCTCTGCTCCCCTCTAAAATTGGCCTTTGGTGAGGAATTCAGGGCTTTCCCCACATCTTCTTTTCCCCCACCAGCTCGAGGGGTGCTGCTGCTGCTGCTTTCCTCCTCCCAGAGCCCCTTCCTGCACCCGTCACACCCCACACTTCCCGCGACACTTCCTTGCTTTGGCCAGAAGCCATCAGGGAAGGTTGGAAAGAGCCTTTGAGCTCCCTTGTTTCCGTTTTCTAACCACACTGATTTCCTCTCCACCAGCCTGGGACACGAACACGTCAGCCCTGCCACCCTCTGCTGTCATCAGCTGATGCGTTGTTTTAGTTCAGGTTTTGATACGGTGGCAACAACAGTCACCAGGGTTCCTCAGACCTGCCAGCTCTCAAAGTCCTTGGTGGATAAGCTTGGAGAAAGGCCACATGAAGACACTTGTAAGCACACACGGTCCCTCTGAATGTTTTCTTTTCCTGTAATTGCTTTTGCTTTTAAAAATGGAAGAAGTTCTAAACAGACAGGGCTCTCACTCGATCATCCTTGCAATCCACTGGGTCTGGCTCGGAGTCTGACAACTAGAACAGAACAGGAACCTGGAAGCCGGTGCGCACACGTCGGTTTGGTGCTGCTGCTCACCATCCTCAGCAGGGCGGCAGAAAGAACTCGGT